CTGTGGTTTTGGTGTCATATCTCAGAAGTCTTTGCCTAACCCAATATCACCAAGATAGCCTTCAATGTTTTCTTCTAGAAGTTTTAAAATATTAGTTTACATGGAAGTCTATGATCCATCTTGAATTAATTTTTGTATGTGGTCTGAGTTACAGATTCATTTTAGTTCATGTTTTGTATATGACTATTCAAATGTTCCAGTAGCATTTGTTGAAAAGAATACTGTTTCTCCTTTGAATGGTCTTTGCACCTTTGTTGAAAATCAATTGACTACGTTTATGTGTGGGTCTGTTTTTTGACTCATCATTCTGTTCTGTTGATATGTTTGTCTAACCTTTTGCCAAAAACACATTGCCTTGAAAACTATAATTTTACATTAAGTCATGAAATCACTTTGTATATGTCCTCCCAAATCTTTCTTTGTCAGACTGTTTTGGCTCTTCTACTCCTTTACATTTTCATATGAACTTTTGAATGAGAGTACCAATTTCTATAAAATATCCTTTAGTATTTGGTTTTGGGTTTCATTGAATCTATAAGTCACTTTGGGGGGAACTGGCATCTTCACAATATTGTGACTTCCAGTCCACAAACAAGGCATACCTCTCCATTTTTTAGGACTCCTTTGGTTTCTTTTGTCGTAGTTTTGTAGGTTTCTGATTAGAGATCTGGCATACATTTTGTTAGATACCTCAGTGTGTCTATGTTTAGGGGGAGCTATTGCAAAAGGTACTTTTTCAAATTCCAGTTTTTTTTTTCAGATAAATATTCTTTTTTTTAAGGTTATGTTAACCACCATACATTACATCATTAGTTTTTGATGTAGTGTTCCATGATTCATTGTTTGCGTATAACAGCCAGTGCTCCATGCAGTACGTGCCCTCCTTAATACCCATCACCGGGCTAACCCATCTCCCCACCCTCCTCCCCTCTAGAACCCTCAGTTTGTTTCTCAGAGTCCATAGTCTCTCATGGTTCGTCTCCCCCTCTGATTTCCTCCCCCTTCATTTTTCCCTTCCCGCTATCTTCTTCCTTTTTTTTTTTTTTAAACATATAATGTATTATTTGTTTCAGGGGTACAGGTCTGTGATTCAACAGTCTTACACAATTCACAGTGCTCACCATAGCACATACCCTCCCCAATGTCTATCACCCAGCCACCCCATCCCTCCCACCCCCCTCAAATTCCGATTTCTGATTGTTCTTTGTAGAATATATAAACGTGATCAGCTTTTTTATATTGACCTTGTATTCTGTAATCTTGCTTAAATTCTCTTACTATTTTTACTAACTCTAAATCGATTCTTTGGGATTTTTCTTTGTAGACAGTCATACCATCTATAAATAGAACAGTTTTGTGTTTTATTCTCTAATATGTACGCCTTTTCCTTCTTTTTCTTACCTGATTCCACTGGCTAGGATCTCCAAAGTGGTGGAGCAGACATCCTTCCATAACTCCCCATCTTAGGGAGAAAGCATTGTCTTTTTCCATTAAGTATAATGTTAACTGTAGGTTTTTTTGAAGATGCCCTTAATTAGGTTGAGGAAGGTCTTTTTCTACTTTGCTGAGAGTTTCTGTCACAAATGGATGTAGAATTTTGTCAAATGTTTTTTTTTTTTGGCATCTGTTGCGATGATTACATGATTCTTCTTGTCCAGTTTGTTGATATGGTGAATTATGTTGACTGAACTGTGAATGTTGAATTAGCCTTTAATTTTCAGGGTAAATCCCACTTGCTCATAAAGTATCATCCTTTTTATATATTGTTGGGTTTAATTTACTGGAATTTTATTGAGAATGTTTGTATCTATGTTCAGGAGGGATATTGGTCTACAGTTTTATTTTTATTCTTGTAATACCTTTAATCTTGTTTTCATGTCAGGGTCACGCCTACATCAATGATTTAGTTGGGAAGTGATCCCTCTTTTTCATTTTTTTCTGAAATGTTTGGTAGAATGTTTGATAGAATTCACCAGTGAAGCCATCTGGCCCTGGAGTTTTCTTTGTGACAAAATTTTTAACTACAAATTCAAGTTGTTTAAAAGATATAAGAGGGGCGCCTGGATGGCTTAGTCAGTTAAGCCTCTGACTCTTGATTTCAGCTCAGGTCGTGATCTCAGGATCCTGAAATCAAGCCTCGCATTGGGCTATGCACTCAGTGGGGAGTCTGCTTGAGATTCTTTCTCTCGCTCTACCCCTCCCCTTGCTCTCTCTCTCTCTCAAATAAATAAATCAAAAAAAGGATATAGGAATATTCAGGTTATCTATCTCTTCTAGATTGAGCTTTGGTAATTTGTGTCATTCAAGGAATTAATCCCTTTCATCTAGGTTGCTAACTTAGATGGCATAAAGTTATTCATAATATTCCTTTTTTTATCCTTTTTTAGAATGCTCTCTGTTGTCCCTAATATTGGGAATTCTCATCTTCTCTCTTTTTATCTTTGCTAGTTTTGTAAGAAGTTTATCGATTTTATTGATTTTATTTAAAAACCAGATTTGGTCTCACTGATTTTTTTCTGTTGATTTTCTGTCTTCGATTTCACTGACTTCTTTATTATTCCTTTCTTCTGTTTGCTTTTGGTTTATTTTGCTCTACTTTTTCTAGTGTCTTGGTTTGAGACTTTTCTCCGTTTTTAATGTAGGTATTTTAGTGATATAAATTTCCCTTTAAGTACTTCTTTAGCCAAATCCCACTGATTTTGATATGCTGTGTTTTTATTTTCATTTAGTACAAACTATTTTTTAATTTCCCTTTTGATTTTTTCCTTCAACCCACAGGCTATTTGTAAGTTACCAGTATATTACAAGTGGTTGTCTCCTGCTGGAATTGTGTATAATGTTTTTCATATTTATATATTTATGTTTTTATTTTGTTCTTTTTGGAACTTTGTGAATGTTTTCCAGTTTTCTACATTAAGTATAAATTACTTTTCTAAAAAGAAAATAATTAACATAAAATAATGCTCTACATTTTGTAGTACTTTATAATTTACAAAGAATTCCAATTAATCCTCCAAACTCTGCTTGGGCAACAGATAATCTATATTTCATAGGTGTTGAAAACTGAGACTGACAGTTTATTTTTTTATTTTTATTTTTTATGTTTTAATTTTTTATCATTGTTTTGAGGAGGAGGGGCAGAGGGAGAGGGAGAGAGAGAATCTTAAGCAGACTCCACTCTGAGTGCAGAGCCCGATGTGGGGCTTGATCCCACAACCCTGAGATCATGACCTGAGCTGAAATCAGGAGTCCAGTGCTTAACCGACTGAGCCACCCATGCACCCCTATTTTTAAATTTTTTTTAGATTGACACTTTCAATGATTAGCTCAGTGCCACACAGCTAGAGTTGGTTAGGATTCAAACCCAGATTTCCTGACTCCCAGTTCATCATTCTGAAGAAGTTGGAAATCAAGCTTTGAAAAGTCAATTGGAATTTATCTTGCAGGTCGCTGGAAAAAATCACCGTGGGTCTTTGAAGCAGTGAATGACTTGAGACAATGATCTCAGTGTAGTTTTAATCTGAATCTCTGATTACTAGTGAGGTTGAACATCTTTTCATGTTTGTTGCCTGTTTCCCATTTCTTCTTCCCTCAAATTGTTATTCATGTCCTGGATAAATAGATATTTTTTTCTGTTGGGATTGGTTGGTATTTTACTTATTAATTTAAATGATGAGAAAAGGTTCCCGATTCTAATACTTTATTGGTTGGAAATATCTTCTCCCTTGGGGCACATGGGTGGCTCAGTCAGTTAAGTGTCTGCCTTCAGCTGAGGTCATGATCCCACAGTCCTGGGACCGAGTCCCATGTTGGGCTCCCTGCTCAGCGGGAAGTCTGCTTCTCCCTCTGACCCTACCCCCTCTCGTTCTCTCTCTTTCATTCTCTCTCTCAAATAAATAAATAAAATCTTTAAAAGTATATATATCTTCTCCCGGTTTCTTGCTTATCTGCCTTTTCTTTTAAAATTTTGATCATCAGGGAAATGTGTACTGGAGAGTGGGGGAAACTAGTGTGTTTGCTACAAGAAGAGTCCTAGTTTGCTTTGACCTTGTGTGATTGGGAAGCAGTGGATAGATGAGGATGGGATTCAAAGGCGAATCACATGGTTTGGAGATTCATTTACCAGTCGTTTGCTAATTGATTACATTTCTTGGCCACGGTGTGCTAGGCCATGTGATAAACAGAATAAATGTTGCCTGATTTTGAGGAACTTTTACTTTGATGGAGAAATAAGATGTGTAAAGGAATGCAAGTAACATAGTATGTGCTCAAGGAACTGTGGCACAAGATAAGCTGTGGTTATCAAAATTTCTGTTCATCAAAGGGGAAGGAGGCATTCCTTTTGAGCAAATTGGGAGTCGTTTACAGAAGAACAAGTCTGTAGGTTGAGGAGAACAAGGACTGTGGGTAGTTTTGCTCACCATCTTATTCCCAGCAGTCAGCAGAGTGCCTGACCAGTAGTAAGTGCCCAAATATTTGTTTCATGATTGAATGATATTAGCACGCATGGGCAAAAGCCATTTATAGGAACTTAACACAATGCGTCTAGTTCATTACTCCTACACCACCCCCGGGCAGCTCGGAGAAAGATCAGCATTTCAGACCTTAGCTTGCATTTCCACAGCAAGGGAGCACAGCCTTTTCCAGAAGGACACACGACGTGCACCCTTATCTTACCATTGTTAACAGAGCAGTCACCAAGACTTTGGCTTCACTCGGGCAAAGCTGGGTTTGACTCTCCTGTCAGTTACTTACTGGTTATATGACTTGATTTCCCTCATCTGTGAAACGAGACTCACAGTGGTGTCTACCGTACTGGGTCATTGTAGGATCGAATAAGCACAGCATGTGAAACACAGCCCGTAGTAGGTTCTGGAAACATTCCCTATGCCTCTGCTCTTGATGTAACACAAAAACAGATGGAAAGTGCAATTGCCTTTGGATTTGATGACTTTGTCTGTGGGGCCTAACAGGCATATTCTCCATCTCCTTCCTCACAGATTCAGAGACATACTGTGTGTTTCAAGACAAGAAGTACAGAGTGGGCGAGAGATGGCATCCTTACCTGGAACCTTATGGGTTGGTTTACTGTGTCAACTGCATCTGCTCAGAGGTACAATGTGACACCCAGTTTGCTCCTCGGCATGCAGAGGTGCTTCCAGTGCCCAGATGGCTGGGAAGCAGGGGTGGTGAAAGCCTAAGAGAAGATAGGAAGCAGCTTGTCAGGAGAAATAAATGTCTCCTGACTCTTTCCTCTTGTTGCCATTTGGCTTGATTTTTTTGTGGGATCTCTAAGTATTTGCTATGGACAGATATTTATGGTCTCCTAGCCAAATGATATGGGCCATGGTGGGGAGAAGGTAGAATAGTTTGATAGCAGGAGTAGGGAAACAGAGCTCAAAGTAATGCCTGGATTATGGACAAAATCGTTTTTGAAGATCATTTTCAAGGCTGGCCTTTAGAGAAGAGATTAGGACAGATCATACAGTGGTTGATTGAGAGAGCATATTTGACGTCTGGGCCAGTAGCAGTAATTAGGATTGAGGCTGCAGAACCTTGGCCTGTCCCTGGTAACCATTACAGTTCTCTTGGCTTGGCCTTGACTCCTGACCAGACATTCAGAGGGGTGTTTGGACACCTTAAATGCCATCTTTGCAATAGGCAAAGCAGGTACTCTCATCTTCTTTCCATGGCCTTGACCCAGGACCACAGCTGTGTTCCATCTTTCTGAATAAGCCTCTACTGTCTTATACTAGGCCTCGGCTTTTCAATTTCTGCTCTATTGCCACTCAGGGACAGGTTATTCCTTGTTGTGGGGGCTGTCCTGTACATTGTAGGATGTTTACCCCATCCCTGGTCTCTACCCACTAGACACCAACAACACCAATTCCAGTTGTGACAACCAAAAATGACCCGAGACATGGTCCAGGTTGCTTGGGAGCAAAATGACCCCTGGTGGAGAACCACTTGGGTAAGGAGGCCTTGTACCAGGCCTTGAGAATGGAGAACTCCGAGCATATGGAAAGAATTTTCAAGACCAGCCTCTCACTTGAGACCTTGTGGAAGAACTTGTAATTCCTCCTTAGTGCCTAGGTAGTATAGAAGCAGTCACTTGCAAGCCAGATTCTTTTGCCATTTAAGTAGAAGGTGGGCTTTTAGAATTCTAAGCACGTGGAAACCTAACCTTCAGGCAGTAGGAAGTCATGTTAAGAGGCTACTGGGCTCTGGAGTTAAGACAGACCATGTTTCCGACCCTGGCTCTGCCACCTGTAAGCTGTGTTACATTGGACAAGTTACCTGAACTCTCTGAGATCCCTTCAGCTTCTTTTTCGTTAAAAACGGGATGATGATACTATGTATTTCACAGGATTGTGGGAAGGATTAAATTCACTAATAGGTTTCAGTCACCTAAAACTGTGCTCGGTCACAGCCAACATTCAAGAGATGTTAACTGCTGTCAGGGCGATCATCATCGCTATTGTTATGGTTATTATTTTTATTCATCTGTTAACTCTAGAACAGAATTCAGTTTAAGGTTTTAAGGAGGCTTTGGTGTAGGCCTCAGCCAGAAGGAGTGGTTTCTGTTGTGCTTGGGTGATTTCACTTCAAGATGATACCACCTGGCTCTGCGGAGCGTGACACATAAGGAGGCTCTGTGGTGTTTCCAAATGCAACACTCCAAAAACGTATTCTAGAAAGTCCACGAGAAAAGAAAGAGGTTTTATGGTAGGGTGATTCAGATTTGGATAAAAGAAGCCTGCCTCTTTCAATGGCTGGGGCAGGTATTAAATAGAGCATCTGGGTACTGATTAGCTCCCTGGTATGACATGATTGTGTCAGATTCTTGACGCAACACATTGGAAATGGACAGCTAACCCCTGGGGGCTGAGTTTTGCCATCTGCAGGGCAGTGAAAATGTTAATACGATCCGAGTGCCGACAGCTCCAGTGCTAGGCATCTTCTCATTCCCCACCCTCTTTTTCATCCTCTTGCCCCACAAGAGCGTGATAGATACAAGTCACCCTTGCTTGGAATGAATTATGGATGGAAATGCTAATGCAAAATTGATTTCCAAAGGCTTCCTTTGATCTAACAATGGTTGAGAGCTGTCAGAGCTAGGGGTCCTGTAATTGTAATTCGGGCAGGGACCCAGTCACCCCCGCCCAGGCATGCTAGGTAATCAGCTCAATTCCAAAGCTTAGCTTGTTTTCAGAAAGCTTATGACTGAAACAGGAAGTGAGGAGAGAAGGCGCCCAGCCCGCTGGTCCAAGGCAGAGTTACATGGAATCCAGGACCCATGTGCCAGTGATGTCTCCTTGCCCAGGGGTGGCTAGCTGCTCAGGGGACCCCATCGCTCGTTATCCCTTCCCTCCCGTGGCATTGGGCAGGTGATCCTGTAATTAGACTAGGCTCCTGTCGATGTGCAGCTGGAGCCGGAAGTGGTGGAAACACCACAAAGGCAGGCCAGGAGGAGCCTTCCACAGTTGGCGGGAAGCTTTGAAAACCAGAGCAAGAGTGACCTGAGCTTTTGAAAAATATGCCAGTAAGCAGTGAACCAACCCAGCAGAGGTGCTCGTGATGAGAAAAGGGAAGAAAGTGGTGATTCCATTCAGCTACTTGGGAATGCGTCTTTCACTGTCTGGGTGAATCCCGGCATGACTGTTTGCCAAAGGGGCATGAGCGCAGGTGACCTTTGAGAGACCTTAATTTTTTTTTCATGGTTGCCTCTTCTCTTCCAGAATGGGAATGTGCTCTGCAGCCGAGTCAGATGTCCAAGCCTCCATTGCCTGTCCCCTGTGCATATTCCTCATCTGTGCTGCCCACGCTGCCCAGGTAAACCAGATTGCCTCTTTCTTTCCCAGCTGCGGCTCTCCTTCCTCCCGCTTCCCCCCAACCCACTCCATCTGCCTAATTCCCCAGAAGGGAAACTTCCAGACAGAAATAACAATAGGACACTTTTAGGCAGCCCACACTGGCCCCTAAATACTGTTTATAGCCCAAGCGGGGCACATTCTAGGCTCTAATAAGTTATTGGGTACCCAGTAACAGATTTTCATTGGGCTTTTAATCATGTGAATGTGGATGTCAGTTGGGGGAAGGGAATTGTGGCCCAGAGAGTTTGTGCCATAAACAGCCTCTTCCTGCCATGGGCACTGGGCACGTGTCTTAAGCAATTAGTGCTGGGATTGCATAAATCAAAGGAGCTGAACCAGTGAGGTTTATGACAGTATAAAGCTGCCTGCCCGCTGAATTGTCACCTCCTCCAGACTGCACAGTTATTATGTACACATTGTTAAGAGCAAATCTAAGGGGAAGGCGGGCAGAGACTTTTTCACAAGGCTGTTAGGACGTCTACTTTGAGGGTTTGCGGCTAGGGTGTTTGTCTGAGGCAGGGGCTCACTCAGTGACACTTTGTTCATGTCTGACTGGGGCCTAGCTCCCACGCCAGGGGCATACAAGCGTGGAATGATGAAGAGAATGCCTGTGGGCTGGACAGCAGTCCTGGGAAAAGCTAAGTGACTGCCTCAGGATCTAGGCAGTAGAAGCCTTGCAGTCCTGTAAGCTGATCCTGTTTCTCTCTAGGATGGAGGTTCTGGAGTCGGAGTCCATGGGTGGGCTTTATGGGGTCAGTGAAACCTTTAAAATTGTTTTGTTCTTGGTGTAACTACGTATACATGTAAATTCCTTTAGAGAGGATCCATAGCTTTATTGGTATTTGTGGAGGGGGTGTACATGACCCTAAAAACGTGAAGAACCACTATTCTAGGGCATAGGTGGTGCTTTTTTTTAAGTAGTAAGGAAACTCCAGAACTTAGAAGAGAGAAACCAAAAGTGTCCAGGCAGCAATGGTAGGAATGGGGCTAAGAATACGGTTCAGTGAAAATTCAGTTAACATTTCAGTTATAGGAATGGAGGTGTTTAATGGAGGAGAAGCCCCCAAACCATTTTGGTCACTACCTTTGTGAACTATACTTTCCTGCATCAGTAAAGACACTCTGATGAACACAGGGGAGTCTTTCTCAGATGGCAAAAGATCATGTCATGTCACACGTTTATCATTTTGAATATTGGTGATGATGATATATGCTTCAAGGTGTAAGAGACTGACTTGGCGTAAGATCGACCTCAAAGTTGGCTTTTGGAATAAATCCCCAAATGAGGCTTACTATTTTTTATATGCCTTTCTTTGCTGCTTCTACTTAAACTGGATTACGAAGGAAGGATTTGGTAGATGGGAGCAAAATTTCTGCTTAAAAAGGCCAATCTGGAGATTTTTTTCCCCATCTTTTCCCCCGGAAGTCTCCAAAAGTGGTTTAATGCCATAGGAATTTATCTAAACCATGTAGACATTGTTTGTCCCTGGGAAGGAAGTTGAGGCATGACCCAGACATGAAGCACAGCGTAGAAAAGCGTAGAGTGCAATATGGCTATCACCTACCCCAGCTATAGAATAGGAAACAAGTATTGAGAAAAATGGAAAGTATAAGCCAGCAGTTCCTTTGAGTGAAAAATAAAGTGATAAAGGAATTGAGATGATAAATAGCAGAAAAGAGAAAATTGTCTTTAAAAGACTTAAAAAGCCCATTTTATGGAGTATAGAGATAAGCCGTTAATTTTCCTTTCCTTCTTGTCCTTGTGGGTCACTCCTTGTTAGTTCATTTTCCTTCTTGTTAACTATAACCTTTACCAGTTCTTTCTGTGAGGAGTGGTACCAAAGTTCCCTAATCCTTATTTGCAAAAATGTCTTTATTTTGTCCTCATCCTTGAGTGAAAATTTGGCTGGGCATAAAATTATCGGTGCATGCTTGTTTTCCCTTAGCACTTAGAAGAAACTAATAGTCTGTGGACTTCCTCCGTTTGTGGATAAGAAATCTACTGTTTGATTATAGTTCTTTTGTAGGTAACTTGTTTTCTCCTTCTTTTAGCTTTTAAGATTTCCTCTTTTTCTTTGGTGCACATGATGAAGTATATCGATGTGTGATTTATTTTCATTTAACCTGCTCAGTACATGATTTCTTTCAGCCAAAGGACTCAAATTTTTCTTCAGTTTTACTCATTGTTTTTCTGAAAATTACATCTTACCCTTCTTTTTTCTTCATTCTCAAAGTTGCCTTTGGCATATGGTTTTGCAGATCACTTAATTTATCTTCTGTCTCCCTGTTTTTTTAAGATTTATTTATTTTAGAAAGAGAGAGGCGGGGAGCCTGGCGGGGAGGGGCAGAGGGAGAGAGAAACTTAAGCAGACTCCATGCTGAGTGTGGAGCTTGATACGGGGCTTGATCTCATGACCCTGAGATCCCGACCTGAGCTGAAACCAAGCATCAGATGCTTAACCGACTGCACCACGCAGGTGCCCCTGTCCTCCGTGTCTCTTAATGCTTCCTTTATTTTTTCCATCTTGGTACACTCCCTGTAATGATATATTACTTCAGTTTTGTCCTCCAATTCATGAATTCTTTCTCAAGTTTTCTCATGCCTCCTATTTAGGCCATCTGTTTGGCTCTGTTTGTTCTTTTATTTTCAATAACTGTATTTCCTCCCAAGTTTTTGGATTACATTTTAAAATATCTACATATTGCTCTTTTATAAGCCTGTGTTTCTTGGGATCTTATTATTTTCTTTATTTCTTTAAGGTATTGAAGTATTTATTTAGAGTCCATTTTAGACTGTTTCAATGTCTATATAGTTTTCAGGTGTGAATTCTACTTTTACTGGTTTCTTGACAGCTTTTCTTGGTTCTGAGTTTTCCCTTGTTTTCTAAAATCTTTGTTTAAAAGCTCATTATCTGTATGTAGGGGGGTTTCTCTTGCATATGCCCTTCCTTTCTGGGGAAAATGTTGTTCCAGACCATGTAGGTCACTTCACTCTTAACCGGGTCATATATTAGTGTCTCAGCTTGGGCTCCCTCATGTCTGGATGGTCGATTTCTACCTCTGTTTTCTTGTACGGTGCTAGTCCCTGATAACGATCTTGGACTGGGACCTCAGCTGCAGCTGCCTACCTTGGGAAGCAGTCCATTTGAGGGCAGGAACCACCTCAGGTGGGCAGAGCTATATCAGCCCCTGTTTACGTGTGAGGAGTGTGGCCCTAGTCCCCACCTTTACATGAGAAGCCACTCAGAGGCCATAGTTCTTGCCCGGCTGTCTGCATCCAGTCCCAGGCGCCAGTGGACCATATATGGCTTTTGGCCCCCATTTATCACTATACTTTTCCTTCTGTGTTTTATTCCCCAAGGAGTCTCCTTTTGTTTCTGAGCCTGATTTTGGCAGTTTTAAAGACATATTTATTTATTTACTCACTCACCCATGTGTTTATTTATATCTTTTTTATATAACTGAGTTTTCCATTTCATCCCTCACTCGTCGGTGGGAAAAGAGCAGGGAGTTCTCACATGTGCTCCCCCTGCCATATTGAACTGGAATGCAGACCAGCTATTCTTTCTGTTGAAGAGAAAACAAGAGTAAACAGGTTTAAACCTTCAACCATAGCAGAGAAGAATGGAGTTTGGTAAAAGGATGAACTTTGGGACACAGTGGCTGTTCAGTCCTAGTATCAAGGACTAAAGAGAATTTTAGTCTCTGTACGGCATATTTCTATAAGTAAAAAGGTACCCTCCCATCTGAGATAGAGTTGTTACAGTTCTGCTCTGAGACTGGGCAATGGCTGGGATGACTCCTCTGTATTCCTTCCACCCCAGTGGTTATTAGGCATGAGGAAACTCATGCCTTCAGGGCCACCGGAATGTTTGGTCAAAGGAAGGGGCTCTGATTTTCCGTCTTAACCCAATGGAAGGCACCATGATGAAAATGTCCTCATTTAAAAATAGGAGATTTATAGCCAAGATGATGAGCAGGTTCTGTATCAAAAAGGAAAAACAAACAAGGAAGCCATATACCCAAGGTGTGGGCTCTAGATACTTTCCTGTAGCAGTGTTGACTTCAGGGAGCATTCACGTGGATAGAGATTGATTCAGTGGGAGGATCTTGCGGGACATGCCATTGGCGGAGACAGAGGAGCCATGACCCCCCATTTACTTCTGTGTTTCCCTTGTTTCTTGCTCTCTAAACTCCCCACCCCGGAAAATTCCAAAGTTCCCACTCATATTGGAGGTGGTCTCCTGCAGCTCCTGCTGAACCGTGGCAATCAAAGTTTGCAGACTGCTTTTCCAGAATTACCAGAGAGAAATCCATACTGATTCCCATTAAGAGAAAATGAAAAATTTTTTTCATCAGCACTTCCTCGAGTGTCCATGGCGGAGGTCACGTCTCGGTCCCATACGACAGGATGCTCTACAGAGCCCAAAGAGGATGGTGCTACATGGAGGTTAGAACATTCTTAATGGCAAAGTCAAGACTGCACAGAAGTCAGAAGGGTCACTAAATCCACCCCAGTCTATAAGCAGGACTCTCTATAGTTGTGATAATGGGAGATATATAGGAATGAAATTCCATATCTTCTCTTTTGGGGAAGTGGAGTGGTAAAGAGGGGAGGAGAAGACTCATAGTGACCAGGAGCCTAAATCATGATATTACCTAAGTTGTTTTTTTTTTTTTTTTTAAGTAGGCTCCATACCCAGCATGGAGCCCAACATGGGGCTCAAACTCATGACCTTGAGATCAAGACCTGAGCTGAAATCAAGAGTCGGATGCTCGGCCGACTGAGCCAACTAGGTGCCCCTACCTAAGATTTTTTTTAATGGCCATTCTTAATGAATTTGCTACTCGGAATTCACAAATTTGTGTTCCCTTGGGGGGTATTCCAGCATTCTTGGGTCATTAAAGAGCTATTATGAAATTGCCAAGGGACGCCTGGGTGGCTCAGTCGGTTAAGCG